ATCGGGGGCAGTCGCGTAGTAGAATATTAAACGTGTTTAATATTTCCAAGATATTTCTCACAACGGCTTAAGACTGTCCCCGACGATAAATCGGGTCGGGCTGCGTCGGCCGACGCTGTCTGAGTTGGCCTTTAGAAATATCAGTTGTACAACATAAAATTTTGCTTACCTCTGGAGCCTAAAGTATAAAAAAATAATATTAAATTTTAAAACAGGGTTTTAGTCATGGGTGTTATCAGGCAGCTGTAGTATACTGTATATCTACAGCTATTTCCATCATTGTAAACATTGACTTCAACAAAACACATATATGATTGATATGCTGATAATAAACTAAAAAAATCCATTATTCTAAAGCCATTAAACCAATGTTATTGTAGAATCCAGAAAAGTTTTCAGATTTTCTTCTCTGCATTGGTAAGTCCTTTGTGTTTTTCTCCGCAATATGAAGTCAAGCAGATGTTTGAATGAACATAATTCGTAAATGAAGCAGACATACTGTATTCTGTTTTGATTTAATTTGTTTCGAATCACCGTGTTTAACATCACAAATTCCTAAATAGTTTTTAATAAAACAATATTGCTTTGCTCAGACATTTTGAATTGTGCGTGGTGGTATTATCTAAAATTTCAATTGCGATGATATTCATTTGCTATTGCATATTTTGCCTAATTTCAAAGCAGATGTCCGATATATATTCATCCAACATTCGTTTTCCATTTGACAGAACAACCACAAATTACTCTCTCTCACTTCCGACCCCGCCCTCTACTTGTCAAAATTGTAAGATGGTTGGTACCGTTTCAATTGTGATGATATTCATTTGCTATTACACATTTTGCCCAATTTCAAAGCAGATGTTTGATATATTCATCCAACATTCATTTTCCCATTTGACAGAACCACAAATTACCCTCTCTTCGCTCATGACCCCCACCCTCTACTTGTCACCATTGTAAGATGGCTAGTACCGTAAATGCTCACCGCAGCACTTTTAAGTTTTGGAGGCCTAAGTGCAGCGCTTATTTAAAAATTTAAAAATATTGGCGCGGCGCTTTCCATACCCGTTCCTACGTAACTATCTTACATATTCCAGTAGTTTGGTAGGCCTATCATAGGTCGTGCGTAATCATAAACATTTTAAAGAAATTCTTGTGTCTTTATTGTGTTACAGTATTAATTTTAACACTGTATACATTGTATTTAAAACCCAGTTTCTCAAAGTGTTTCATTACACACAGTATTATATACTCTCGATTAAGCGCAGCAACACTTATTTGAGAGTGACGCTTAGCTAAAAAAAATCATGTTTGGTGCGGTGCTTATTCGAGATCGAGAGCAGAGCTTATTCGAGCATTTACGGTACGAAGCTCTGAATCCGTCCCTGAGATCCCTCCTGTGAGTGTCAAGATGAACTCTCGATCCGCGTCTGGACCGCAAATCAAGAACTGAGCACATTTTACTAATAATAATGTAATTTTTGTTTTATTATGCACAAATTTGCCCAAAGGCAGTCATAAAAGCAGGTAAAGCTCTTCTAACTACTCAATGAATAATCTACAGAATACGAAAAGCTATAAAATTATATGACTCAAATATAAAGGAGCATATATTGAATCCCCATCTTATAAATAGTGGGATAGAATCAAATACTCTTTCTTAGGGGAAAAACATATTTACAAATATTAAAATTATATATAAAAGTAAAACATACCTCAAGTATAAATATTAGTTTTAAAAACACTTGATTTCACTTAAAACACATTTTACTGCATAAATATCACAATATCTGTCATTTGCTGTATAATCTGCTTATTTATTAACAATCTGATATATAATTATTTTTTTATCTGAAATTCATGATATAATCTACAATAATCTAAAAATAATTTATAATTCTGCTGTAATATTAATCCAATATTGATAATTAAATCTGCTTTAATCTGAAATGGATATCTTAATTACATTCAGATTAAACCATACAAAGCAGATTAAATTACTCAACTAAATTAATTTAAGATCAAAGAAGATTACATCAGAATGATAACGCATTTAAATTTAATTAATTTCAGATTAAATTATTAATTTCGGATTAATAGTATGCACGTTTTTATAGACTGTAGCACTCTACACATGCGTCTCAGAGCGCCTTTCCACATTATTACCCCAGTCATTGGAACGATGCCTATGGGGAAAATGAAAATGAAATATATCCGTGCATTTTGCACTCGAACCTCCTCAGGTACCAACTTATACTCCTAGGTGGAGAGAAGCAACGTAGATAAAGTGCCTTGCTCAAAGACACAAGCGAAATGAACAGCAAGGGATTGAAATCCCGACCTCGAAGTTTAGAAACCAAACCATTCCAGCCGCACCAAACCCAATTAATGAAGATTAGGCCCAATAAACAAAATTATTAGTTTATCACCCTCGTATGCATGTCTTCTATGGTACTAAAAACAAAATTTCTGAAGAAAAAAAAATTTTTTGAAAAAACAAGTTTAAAAAAGTTTTAAAAAAAAAAAAAAATTTTCTTTTTTTTTTTCATTTTTTTATTAAATAGTTAGTAGATATTGTTTGTATTATCTAAATCATGTTTTACTTTGAATATCAATGCCCCAGCAAACAACCCAAGGGTGATAGTTGGCTTTAGCAAAATTAAAAATAAAAAAAGCCTACCTCCCTTATCACTTTTTCAGCCTAGATATTGTGATAAACTAATAATATTTTTTATAAGGCCTTAGATCACTGTAGATTACATCGTGAATTTCAGATTTAAAAAAAATATAAAAAAATATATTGTAAATTAATGAAATCAGATTATATTATTCAGATTAGCAAAGATTATACATTGAATCAATTTCAGATAATTACTGTATATTATGAATAAACCAGCAATGTTGCCTTCAAAAAGCATTAGCATGTGCAATACAAAGGGCATTATTTTGATTACTACAAATATAAACCATTCTTAACTTTAATGCATATTGCTATACGTTAATGGTTATGGTTGGGGAATTGTATAGTGCACATACAGTCTCTAAGTGCAGAACTAAAAGTTGCAGCATACAATAATACACTTAGAGTTGTTGCTTAAAACAATTGGCCATTGTTGTTTTTGTTCTAACAATTTTATGCCAAAGTGTTGATTGGTTGAGCTTGGTGGCTTAAATAAACCCTAACCTTCAGTCTCCCTATTTTAAATGCACTACAGAATGTCGGAAGAATAACCATTTTGTAAATAATATGTAGATGGGAGGAGGGCATTCATAAGATTTTGGGCAGTACATTAATATTCATCATTCTAGATCTTGAATGCATGTACTGTGGTTCTGCAGACCTAGTAAGTCTTGCATATTTGGCGCGAGACCCACACAGTTGAGGCATCTCTCTCTCAAGCTCTCACACTCAAGATATATAAAACCTCATGCACAACCGTAATATTGTCAACAAAAAAATATGTATCAGGCTTATTATATCAACTAAAATTCCCTCTATGTGCATCAGAACAACTTTATTTCATATCTTCAAGATCAAACTAGCTGCACTAACAATGAATGTTTCATTATTTTACCAAACACTGTCCGGATAATATCAAGGAATGTATTCTTCAGCCTGGCGCTTAGATTTATTTATTATAGACAAATATTTGTAACAGGTTATCAATTGTAAGAATATTGCCTTAAAATGGCAAAGAATGCACTTTCGGGCATCTAGGGGAAAAATTTCCAGGGAGACATGCCCAGACTACCGCAAATTTGTCAAACTCAGAATCTCTAGTACTTAGCCAGCGAAGTGTTTACAGAGTAATGGTTTCTGTTAAACCGAAGCTCTATCTTGAGTTGATTAATGAATCTGGTAATCCACAAGGGAGTCTCTCTAAATAGTAATCAATTTCTGAATGTTACAGAAGAATATACAATTTCAACAGACGGAATAAAAGCTCTTATAGAATTGAAATACTGTACAGCAGTGCCAGCCATAAGGACATTGAACATCTTCTAAACATTATAAATTCCATTAACACTGTACCTTTGCCGATTTTGATTCAAAGTGAGTTTGATTTTCATTCAATAATAAAAAAAGTGTATTATCATACTGTACTGTACATGTTCAAAAATAGCAACACTATACTTTGGAATATAGGTGATAGGCCAAATCCTTGAGATGTAAATGGCTACCCTCAACTTGAGGAGCATCTGACCTAAACCCATGCCCTCAATTCAACTGCGTAAAGACCAACATTTCAGTTGGCTAAAACTGTGTACACTGAACCGTGAAATTCCTATAAAATTATTTGGTCTCTCCCTGGTTCAATACCATCACTACTGGAAGGTTGAAATTCAAGTAACATAAATAGCGCCCCATCTTTTGGAAGACCATTTAAGTCATTGGTCCGATGGGCAATACATGGCACGTTTAAAAAAACAAAATACTGGGGGAGGGGGCTTGGGATGAGAGCAGAAGATTTTATCTCAATATGCTGCAAAATTCACAAGGATTTTTGTGCTATATCAAGGTGTTTCACACGTGTGAGCGAAAGGGATTACAGATTTGACACAACTGTGCCCTTTTGTAAACAATTGCAAC